TCTGTTCCTAGCCTTTCTAACGTAATTAAAATCCATCAAAATACAGTGAATGATGAGCGAAAATGAAGCGTGAAAATTAGTTTACAATGCTTATCAGCTTTGGCAAAATGAAAAGCTATTTACAAGTTACTCCTGTGTAACTGTAAAAATTGCCTATCAGGTTTTTTGAGGGATTAAGATTTATCGCTAGTTGTGCGTTATAAAAAAATGTTATTAAGTTTTTTATTACACCTTCTTTTTCAATCAAGAGATACTTGTTAGAAAATGAAATTAGAAACTTGATCTCTAATCGTTGATTGCTTTCTCTGCACTCATCAGTGTTCTTATACATAAACGTAATTAATTCTTTTTGTATTGAGGTATTTGTAATTAAAAATAATTCTGTACAGAAAAATATATATATAACATTCTGGAACTATTTAGCACCATATTATTAGGAGCAATTATGAATAACGTAGTTCCAATAATAAAACTGTTAAGTACTAATGATATCTTTTAACTCTTTGTATGCCATGGTATATTCAACATAAAATGTTAGTCTGACTTTTCTTTTTTTTTTTTATGACTTTTAACATGCTGCATGCTGCGTACATTCAGTCTTAGAATTCCAAATTACTGTCTTACTCTCCGACTCTTTTTACTTCTTTGTATTAAGTAAAGGAAGTATAATCGCGAAACATTTTGGGTATCATTACATACTTAAACGAAAATATCCATTTTGACTGATCCTCTTGAACGATTTTTTGTTTTTTTCAGTCCAAAGGGGCTTTGTCCCTGAAGGACTAGTTGTAGAATTATCAACAATTTTATCCACGTTTATTTATTTGCATTTGAAACTCTTAGTAATACTGAATAATGTCAGTTGGTGTGCCAAATTATATGTGTGTTTTTGCCGAGTGGCATCAAAACTTAACTTTTAATTTTGTTCACCGAACTTTTGTCTTACTGTCCGTTGGTCGAATTGCTTGTTTTTGCTTAGAAGCTCTAATTTTAATTGTAAAAATGTTTTTTTTTTTTTAATGTTTTTAACTGCAGCCGGCGTTTTAGGTTTTTCTGTATGTTATAATTCTTAATGAAGATGTTTTGAGTTTTCATGTATTTTTGCCTTGCCGCAAAGGAAGAATTGAATTGAATGAATGAGAAATATGTCTCTAACTAAATTCGAGGAAACAAGTTTAAATTAATTGCAGCGAAAATGTGTATAGTTTAATATACCATACAAGGAAGTCATGAGGTGTCCACATCATATTTTTATTAAAACAGAATTCAAAACATTAACGCCCTTTCCTGTGCTAATAATATTAGCTACGGGTCGTGTCGATGCAACCAAAGGAACAGTAAAATTCAGGTTAAGCACTGGAAAAAAATTCATAATTTAATATTACACGATGATGATTCAGTACATCCACCGGATCGTCATAATCAAATTGTCGGCAGCGATCTAACACGAAACCGAATAATTACGGCTATCAGAGCTGTCAGGAACTAAATGCACATTAAGAAACGCGCTTTCTCTCAAAATCCAAAAACCTCGTTATAAATACTAGCTATCTGATTTACATTCTGATGAGGAAAACGGAAAGGAGAAATTATAGTAAAGGTTGAAATTATAAATAATCGATTGATTCAATACAGTTATTTTTTGTAGTGTAACATTTATCACACAAAGAAAACAAAAATGGTTACTATTATCGTCACATTAAAAAATAAATAGTTTGTCCTACATTAAAATTAAAATATAAAAAAATAAAGCATTTTGCAACAAATTTTATCGTTTTGAAAGTTTTTAAAAGTACCTTTTGAGAATTTTCTTTAAGAGGTCATATTTTTCGGTTATGTTCCGAAGTTGTGTAAGATCGATACCGCTACGAATAAAAATCATTTTTTGAGCTACCTTGTGGATTATGTGTTAGCAAAGAAGCTGGGATTCTATGTCCTGCCGATCTTGTGTCGCATCGCTACGAAATCGCCACAACAGCAAATTTCTGCTGTTCAATAGTTAAAATTACTTGCTCTGATAGAATTTAAGTCAGTACTGCCTACTGAAATATTTTCTTCGCTTCATTTCTATGATCTAATATATATCAATTGCCACCTTTTTTAACTGAAAAATTTATTAGTTTTCCTACAGTTTTCAAAGATAGTTAGTGACTAGAATTAAATAAACTTAAAGTATAGAGTCGCCGCATTCTCGGATGGCACAGACTGTCCTTTCACCATCGATGGGAAACAGCTGATACACTTTGAAATCGTTTATGAAGTCTCGATGTTTCATTTAAGTTTTATGCATAATTAAGGTAAGATATAGAAAATCTTACAGAAAGGAAACGGGCCTACTTTCATATTTATTTTTCTTGTTATATAGACTAGACGCAATACTAATAAATATCTATGATACAGTCAATCGTATCCATTATTCGAATTAATTCGTCTTGAAATCTTTATAAAAGTCTTATAAACAGAAACTACTGACTCATATTGCTAATCAAAGATAATGATAGGCTTAGTTTAGTTCTGTTGTTAATAAAAACCAGCAGTTGTGCATGCAGTGAGTCTAAAAAATAATTAAAATTAATATTCTTCTGTATTGTTTTCTAAACAGAAATAATGCATGATTTTTAAAATAGACATCAGAATCTAGTGATTGTATATGTATGATTTAAAAAACTAATTACGTATGTTGGAATATGAGGAAAAGAATCATTGAATTTTATTTATTTGAAAACTCCGCAGTCGATAAACAACATCCACTTACTTGTCGATGGTTAAGTACCATCCACAAGGTTGTGGTTAAGTCGATGGTTAAGTACAAGTCGACTTGTATATCAAGTCTGTCTATCAATGGTGAAGGACAGTATCATCCATTCAAAAAAGCAGCGAACAAAGTATAGCAGTATGACTGACGCTGTCTGCACGAAATCAACAATATAGCTAAAAAATCAGAATAACGATCGACTGAGAGGAAAATATTTCCCATTGTGCTCATGAGTAATTTTAACACGTAAGACAACGCATAGAAGGAACAGATTAATACAAGCTGTGCTGAAATCTCGATTACAACTAGGGAAGCCTTTGGACCTGGTTACTACAAGAGCCAGTTCGTGACGTTTCTCGCTTAAAATGCCAGTTATTCTCAGTATATTTATCGATTTTTTCTACTTTTTGTAACAAATATGGCACGGTTAATAGTCAGTCGTGACATCCCTGGGGAATGAATCTCTTATCATCATCAAAAAAGCTTGCCCTGAAGTGTTCGCTTTACTTATTGTTGTCTTTACATTGTTGCTGGTTAGCAAAGGTACTCCTTTAAAAATGAAGTCAAGAAAAAAAAGATTAAAATCTCTGGTCAAACTTTATGTATACGTTTATTAGAACTTTCATGATACATTTAATGAGTACGTATTGGTCAAAAAACGTGTTCAAACAATGAAGGTAGCACACATTTACATAAAAGTATAAAAAGGTAGAATTGTTTTGAAATTATGATCGAACAAAATTAACCTTAACGTAAATATTCTAATTGTTAGTAGTGTAGTTTATTGATATAGCGTGTAGTTTTTTGTGTGCAATGAATGTTTAAAATACTAAGGTGGAGTCATAAATAATAAGGTGGAGTCATTTTCCCTATGAGGCGGGACAGCAAAAAGGGGGGGGAATTACAATGACGTTTTGGGGAACTTTAAAATTCCAGAATCAAATACTTGGAAAGGTTATAAGACTATTAATAAAATGGTAGTAGAGGACATAAGAAACACCATCTTTTTAAGCATTTGAAAAATCTCTGGGTTCTGGATCGAAAAAATAATTGTTAACCTGTAGAGTTATTAGGTTTACTTCAGGACAAGAAACATGACAAATCAGAAGTGCTCTCGCCAGGATTTGAACTCCGGACTTCTCTGTACTAATCTACATGCTTCCAGTTACACCACAAAAGCACGTTGTAAGGAATTAGAAAATTTCTTGCATTCTCTCCCACTTAAAAGACAAACTAGGAAAGAAAGGACGATGAGTTATCGTCCACCATATTTTAATTCGCATGCCATTGGTAAAGTCATTTAAAATTTTTAAGAAGAGGAAAAGATGAAGAACTAGTAAGGTCCTTGCCCGAGATTCGAACTTTGGTTAATAGCCAGACTTGCTTCCTATTACACCATGTAGACACGTGGTAAGAGAGGAGAAAACTGATAACAAATTTTTGCAGAAGCGAAATAGGACGCATTCCAGAGAAAAGAGATATAATTTTAAAATGTCAAAACTGCAAATTCCTTTATTGAAAACATTTGCTTAGTTTATAAATTAAATTTAAAATTTGCAGTACCTCAGTATCCGCATTTCAAATATTCATTCACAAATTGTGGCTAGTTGTTGCAACTGTAATGGATAAAACGGATTTAGACCATATGTTCAAATTACGAAGGTAGTACATACCTGAAGAAAATAAAAAAGGTATAAAATGGCAGGAATTCATAATATGTATGGATTTAGACCATCTGTATGTTGCATATATTTTTTTGTTAGTTGGACATAGCAAAACTTTTGCGAATTGTGAAAATGTAGTTGCTATTATTGCTTTTCTCCTTCTCTAGCTTATGCCGGCCCATGACGCATAGTCTTGACCATTAAGAAATACAATAGTCTTCATGGTGATCTAGATTCGTGAAAAGAAATATCTTAATTACCATGCCAAAGAATTGTGGATCCATGCATTTGGAAAGTTTGTTATACGTTTCCTCTGTCTCTTACGAATCTTAAAAAACCGCAGACCCGTTTCTTTCTATCTATGGAATCTGCAGCAAACCCTTAAATTCTTCCTGGATATGAATCTATGATACATGATATACATTATAGTTAAGGTTCATTTCCGTGAATATGAAATTTCGGTTCATGGGGGCTTCAGTTAATCAGGATTCCACTCAGTACTTGTTTATCTATGTTTACGCTTGAAGAATGACTAAACTGATGTTAATTTGATAAAATGGTTGCATTGTTTGTTCTTTCAGATTCCCAGTCGGTGCCAGAAAGTTTGTTCACTCGAGGATGCCGAGCGAACCGTGGACAGTTCCCACACGAAACCTTCTGTCAACAGTACTACAACTGCTGGGATGGCCGAGCGACCATCGAAGAGTGTCCCGGAAAGCTGCTCTTTAATCCCGTAATTTCAGCGTGCGATTATCCAGAGGCCGTGAACTGTGGGGCAAAATTAAGGAACCCAGGTATGTGGATTTCCTGATAATATCAGGAAGCGGATGTTAACATTTTTGGTATATCCATAAGCAATGTTTTCCTGATTCTTTGCACAATTACCACTTGCTGAGATCGGTCGAAGTACTTGAACGCCATTTTTCACTATCATAGATTCAAAGCGTTGTTATTATATATCGTTCTCTTTCACTGCATTTTCTATTTTCTTTCGTTTCCTCATTTTTATTTGATCATTCAAGTTCTACAATTTCCCCTCTCCGTTTTTGCTTCCTTTCGTCGAATTCAGTCTTATAATTTTTCTTTTGTTTTAATTTCATTTTTACTGTTTGTTTCTTTTTCCTTTCTTTTTTTTTGTATCATTCCTTTTTTTTTAATTGCTTTTTAGTAAATTGATATTCTCGACATTTTTCTGTTGTTTTCGTTTTTATCAAATTTTTGGGGGGGAGGTGGCTTTCTATATACTTCTGTGTTCCCTTACACCTTTCTTTTACAATCCCTATTTTACTATATTAAATCAAGTTTTTCATTTCTTTTTCGTTCGTTTCGTTCTTCTCTATCTTTTCCTTTATAATCATTTTCTGTGATCATCTTGTATTTTATTTATTTATTTGTTAGCCTAATTTTTACGTTTTTTCTCTTTTCTGATTTTTTCCCATTATAATCATTTTTCTTATCTGAAGTTCCTAATTTTGCTTTTTTTTTTTTTTTTTTTTTTTTTTTTTAGTTTCGCAGACTTTTTTTGTTATTGTGCCTCTTCCTTCATTTTGGTTTTCATTATCTATCTCCCCCCCCCATGTCCTTAATTTTTTTTTCCTACCTTCTTCTCCTCTCCCCTACCACTTTTTTTTCTGTTCTATCACTCGGTGTCTTATTTATTTATACTTAGATCTGTTTTTCATCTTTTCTGTTTTTTTTTACATTTAATCAAGCGGACAATTATTCTGTAATCTATTTTTGATTAACCAATCAAAAATAACAATCGTTCGATTTCCAGGCTGGGCAAGGTCGACTCAGCCTTTCATCCTTTGATTTCCATCACTTGGGTCGATAAAATGAGTATCAAGTTCGCTTGGGGACTAAACACTAAAAGTCCTGCGACAAGCTGATCACTTGTTCAGGGCATATGCTTACGCATCCCGGGGCTCACGGTCAAGAAAGCAGATTTCGGGCACTACAGGGCTTGTAGTGCCCGAAAGTGCCTACTCATTAGGGCTGTTAAGCCACTGAGGTTAGCATTGTTTAACAACGTTTTTACTACTCAAGCTTGGAAATCGACATATCAGTATTCAAATTTAATTTTTATAGAAATTTTCCGAGGTCTGTACTTAAGTCGAGCGAATGTCATTAGCCTCTGTTTCAACATTAGTCATTCGCCTGCTAGATATTACCATCTTTAGCACTATCCAATGGTACTGCTCAGCAAAAGTGGTAGCTTTTCGTTTAAAATTAGCAGAAAACCCAAGTTTTTATTGGAGCCTGGGGGGTCGAAATATCCTTCATTACCTAATAAAAATGTAAAACCTGGTGAGCAGCTGAGGCGAAACAATTCTATGATAGGAGGTTTGTTTTATTTGATTAAGGCAAAGCCCTCTAGGGATATCTGTTAAAGTGAAGTGATGCCTTCGTGGAGAACTTTCTAAGGGAAATTGGCTCGTACATACATTACACTTGGGTGAAACCACGAAAACGCTCATGCCTAGCCCGTTCGCCAGGATTCAATCCCCGGACCGAACTACCAGTGTTCAGCGACTTTACCGCTCGGCCGCAGGTGGATGCAGTTATCACAACTGTAGACTAAGATGAAATTTTCCGCGATGTTGCCAGAGCGCTAAATGATGTGCGTGGACAAAGAAACCAAAAGTGCCCACCCTTTTGTTTCATAATATAATGCTCTCATCTTGACTTTTCGAATGAAAACTGAAGATGCATTGGCATTTACTTTCAGCTCGTCTGACAAGTTAAATTAAGTTTAGTAATCGGTTGTTCTCACTTTTTATGATATATATCGCTGGATTTATAGGACGATTTTCAATCTGGTTCATATGCGGTTGATTTGGTTTGGTTTAATTGATTATGGCAGAGCACTCGCGGGCTATCTGCCCAAGGAAAGGGACGCCTTCGTGGAGAATTTTCTGAGAGAACCTGGCTCGTATTTACATTACACTTGCGGAAAGCCACAGAAACACCCATGCAGCCAGGCCATTGGCGGGATTCGTACCTCGAATCGAACTGCCAGTGTTCAGAGATTTTACCGCTATGCCGCTCGTGGGCCCTGACTTATACATGAATTTTCAATTTTGGCTAAATTTTTATAGCTAACTGCTGTCTCTCGGCTTATGCACGGATCGGTTTGTATTCGGAAATATACGGTATATTAATTATTTTCATAAAAATTGCAACGTCCGCTTGATAGTTTCCTTCGGTAAAATCGGAAGATATTTTTAATTGAGGTACGGTTGTACTAAGTTTGGCTTTGGAATGTGCTTCAAAAATGCGCCAGTTTAAGACCACATTAATCTTAAATTCCAAATTGAAGACTTTAAAATTAACTACTGTTTTCAATATTTGAATCCGAATATTGTGGCATCGGTTACGGCATCCATAATGTCTTGCTACCAAAACAGAAAAGATTTCTTTTACGTCAACTTCCGATTAGCCGGGGTAATACTAGGGTGACATCCGCGGTTATTTCAGAAACAATATTAATCAAAGTGACAATTTAAAAAAAGGGGGAAGAAGAAGAAGCCATATTAGAACTAACAAAAAAGTATCATTAAAAATGTATCTGTATTTATCTGTATTTTTAAGACTTTAATCTGTAAAATAAGTTCATTTAGTTACTTAAATTAAATCAGTATTCAAGGCCAAAGAACACTGTGAATAAATGAAGAATAAACATCAGGTGACAGGTGACGGAGGACGGGGACGCCTGGTGTTTAACAGGGGTAAGCAGGCATATGTCCCACGCCTTCCACTAACCAGATGCAACAACTCCCTGGAGCCGCACAAGGCCGCACCTGGAGCTTATTGATATTCCATTCAGATTAAACATGGCCATACAAGGGCGACATTGTGCTACATTGAAATTTGATGTACATTTGTGGGTGGGGCAGTCTTGTTTGTACATTAAACAGAGCATAAACACACATAAAATGTGCACATAAAAAATAAAAAATAAATAAATAAGAAAACTTGAATACAAAAACACCTATAACTTTCAAACACCTAAGACGCTCAGAACGTAGACACCTAAACACTTAAAGACACTTGAGAAGGTACACAAAAACAAACACTTAAACACTTTAATACAATACACAATACAATATGCAATAGAGGTAATACAATGTACAGTGACTCAATATGCAATAATAAACGCATATAAATGCAATACTCACATCACAGAAGATACGTAACGCAGTGCACATGTACAAGTACACATTACGCAGGACACATGAGTGATAATCTGAGATATTAGCATGTTAACGCGCGCAATGCAGTAGCGATAGTAGTGTACAATCAATGTGGCTGTAGAGGTAATACAATATGCAATAGAGGTAATACAATATACAATAATACAAAGTGCAATAATAAACACATATTATGCTGTACTCATATGCACAATTGATACCAGACGCAGCACACAGATACATGGGATGCAGTACGTAGGACACAGGATGTAATGCAATATGCAGCGGAGGTAATATAATATACAGTAATACAGTAATAATCACATATAGTGCAGAATTCATATGCATATAATTTACATAATGCAATACACAAATACACAGAACACTTTACGCAGGACACATATGTAATAATCGGAGATATTAGCATATTACGCGCACAGTGCAGTAGCAATAATAGTGTACAATCAATGAAGCCATAGAGGTAATACGATGTGCAATAGAAGTAATGCAATATACAATGATATAAAGTGCAATAATAAGCAAATGTAATGCAATACTCATATGCACAAAAGATACAAAAGATAAAAAACGCAGGAAGACGATATGCATGACGCATAAGTAATAAATTAATGCATTAGCATTTACGCGCGCAGTACAGCAGCAATAGTAGTGTACGAGCAATGCCGCCATAGAGGCAAGTACTTGTACAGGGTATACATATGATGCGATGTTTTTGGTTGTTATGCAATTACGGTAAAGCCTCGAGAGCTACCTGCGTAAGGGAAGAGATCTTTCGTTGACCACAAAAACGCCCATGAAGCCAGCCCGTTCGCAGGATTCGAACTTCGGACCGAACTTCCAGTGTTCAGCGACTTTATCGCTCAACCGTAGATGAGTCCATTAGAAATGAAGAAAGTACGTCATAAATGTAACTAAAGAACAACATTTACTAGAGAACTTGAACGATGTCATTTAATTCAAGGTCGCTTAAAAAAGTCAGTTATATATTTTTTTTATTTGTAAACAGAGTTTATCCGCAAGACATCATCTGCTATTAGCGGTCTTATGCCAAGCATTTTTGTTTTGTTTTCTGTTCTCCTATAGACAGGTTGGATTTACTCTGATTGTTTGTGATAATAATTTTCCATCTTTCTAAAATGAGCAACTGTTTTTTGGACAGAATCCGGATAATTCACTATATTGTTAATTGACATTTCAGTATATTTCTTTGAACTCAGTTTTGCTATTATTCATAAAAAAATTTATAAGTTTACGCAACTAAAGTAATAACTTTGGAAAGTTTTAAACAAATTATGGAAATTTTTGATGAAATAATACACTTATATGAGCACCAAAATTTTTCTGCTTAATCTCGACATCAGTAAGATTCAAATATTAGCCATTTTAACAATCATACATCTATCCTACATCCACGATCTTTTTCTTTCAGCTTAAGGCTGAATCATTACTTTATAAATCATACATAAATCATCGAAGACAAGAATAACTCTTTATCTAAGTAAACATTTACAGATTTCTTCCAAGTTAAATCCAGTTCCAGTTACTTTCATAGTTATATATTTGAATTACATTTGCATATCATT